TTTTTTTTTTGAGTTTTGATGTAGAACAAGTAGGGGAAATAGATAGATAATAGAAATTAGAGGGGAAATTGGAGATAGGCAGAAGCAATTAGGGAAAAACAGAGGAAATATGTAGCAATAGAAGATTTGGGGGAGAAAACCAGAAAGAATAATAAAGGGAGAAAATCACAATTCTCAATATCTCAAATATTGACCATCCAAAAGCTAATCAAAACCAAAAGTAGCATGGATATTTATTTGCTAAACCCTAAACTCAAAAAATACCAACTCCAACCTAAAACCCTAATACTTGAAATAACCTAAAAATAGCCTAAATATATGTAAAAATTGCAATTAAACCTGTATAATATAAACTAAAATCCTAGATAATTTAATCCCTCAACTAGCATATCTTAATTCTCCATCAAGTTTCCTATGTGATAGTTCTAATATTTTCCTGCATGAAAAAGCTTATTGTAATTTGCGAGGTTGGAACTGTTCTTGGACTGGGCTGAGAATATTTTGCATGACCAACAATTTACTTGTTTTTAGATCATGGATCTCATATCATCTGGAAAAAGAATTATTCTTTCATCTTTAGTTGGTTGAACTGGGTAGAATATTATATTTCTATGAGACTTTAAGGTGATGTACACAAATGTTAGATCCATAATAGTAGAGATGCTTTCTCATCAGTTTGCCATATAACATCTGCTAGAGGTTGTTGGCTCTGTTTTTGAAATTTTCAGTCTCTGGTGTATGTTGTGGTTATATTTGTTGTCTTTATGTATAAACCCTCTCTATTTAACAATGTTCCCAAATAGAAATCTGAGGAAGCAAGTTACCCTTGGCATTATAAGCTGTAAAGCTTGAGGTAAAATGCTCTACTCTTTTGTTCTATTTTTACATGTGTACTAAAGTCATGCAGATATGGTGGGTGGGAAAGTAGGGGAAAAATTAAATGAATGAATACTTGTAACCAATACAAAATTGAGTTTTAGAATATTGCTTAACATACAAGCATAGAGGTAGAAAATGGCTTGTAAAATCATTAGTGTGATCAAGTAGAAATGATAAGGAATGCACTTGCGTTGTGTGCATTGGTGTGTGTCGAGTCACCCATGCTAGGGAGATCTTGGGCTTTATATAGAGTGATGGTTTTCTTTAATTGTTAGTTTCTTGGGTTGAGGCCCAGGGCTGTGACAATTGCCATTAGTTGAGAGGAAGCAGTGGCATGATCAGGGCATCACTTGCTGACTAATTGCATGATGCAAGTGGAGCCCCAGCATGAGGTACATTGTTCCTGTGTGCTTTAGAGATATGTTGACTTTACATGACGTGGGCCTAAGAAATGGTTTTAATTCTTTGGGATAGTTCATTCCTTTTCCCCTTGGATAATTCTATTTTACCAAATGTTGTTTTAATGTCACAGGGAACAGAGTATTATGATGGGAAAACAAAAAGATATGTCGATTTCCCTATTACAGATATTTTGCAAATGATGGGCCGTGCAGGTCGTCCACAATATGATCAACATGGGAAGGCAGTCATTCTTGTTCATGAACCCAAAAAGAGCTTCTACAAAAAGGTGAAACAAAAATAAGTGACCATTTTTTTTGCTGATTTGACTGTGTTCTTTATGGCAAGAGAGTGCCTGGCCTAACCATTTCTTGTTTTCACCGTGCAGTTTCTATATGAACCATTTCCAGTTGAGAGTAGCCTGAGGGAGCAGTTGCATGATCATATCAACGCAGAGATTGTTTCCAGAACTATTTGCCATAAAGAAGATGCTGTGCATTATCTTTCTTGGACCTACTTATTCCGCAGACTGGTATGCTTTTGGTTATCATCACCAAGAACAGAAAGAAACTTGGTGTGATATTGTCATGGTCTTTAGTCTACTTATTAACACGGTGATGAGATAAATGCAAGTTGTGAAGATAGTTTGCTGCAACAATGGTCATTTTGTGCGTAACTTTTGCCTAGTCCTTGCTTAGATTGAAATAAGGTTATACTAGCCAAGCATTACTTTGTTTATTTCTCATATGTGTAATATCTACCTTCTGGTAAACTCTGGGTCGTTAATCTGGCATCCTAGTATGTGAGCTCTTCAACACCTAATCCCTTTCTTTGGTAAGAAAGAAGAAAAACTTTAGGAATACTGCATGCATAGTTTGACTTTATATCTTAGCTTATCATATGATTTATACCTAGAAATGCAGCCTTTTAAAACTTTTTCTTTCCCTGACGTTTCAGCTACTTATTTACCTTTAGTTGAGTGTTTCATGTTGATATGAAGAAAATCATGGGATAATGGATCTATTGCAATGTTTATTTTATTACTTAATCAATTGCGCGGCCACGGTTGCTATAGGTCAGTGATGAAGTTGCATTTCCTGGATGCAACTTTAGGGTGAAATTAATATTAACTTCTGCAGAGAGGGCCTGTTTTGGAAAATTCTTAGGTTGGATTGGACAATTCAGTGGTAAAATAATTACAATTTCTGTTTAGAATTCACCCCTTAGCTGCTTTTGGGGCAATGTATGTTAGCACCTCTCTCTTCTTAGTAATATTGTGTTATCATACCCCACATGTTAATACTATATTAATTCTTGCATGAGTAGCTGTTTGTGGTTTTTAAGTAATAATTGGATACATGGTGGGAAGCCTCTTAAATGGAGAAGAATGAAAATCATGTAATTTTATTCTTGATAATATGGGATCTAAGAAGAAATTGAGTAAATTTCCAAGATACTGCTGCCTAGGCCATGTCCTGTGCCCAACACCACCCTCCTTTTGGCACCCATCTTCCTTTGGGGAGGAGGGCCTTGAGGACTCCAAATGTCAAGACACCCTCAATATTGATGTTACTTTTTCTCTTTTAGTGACAATTTTTTATTTACCTTCAAGAGTTCTTATGGGCAAATTTTTATAACAGATGGTTAATCCAGCCTACTATGGCTTGGAGAGCGCAAAAGATGAAACACTAAGTTCTTACTTGTCCAGGTACTAAGCTGTTGAAGAGATCTCTTGGCTCCTTCCCTGCTAGGATAAATCCTTTTCTTTTTTAGTGCTGTGCTGAGTGACTAATTATCTTTGGCAGATTGGTGCATAGCACCTTTGAGGATCTGGAAGATAGTGGGTGCACTAAGATGACTGAGGACAATGTAGAGCCTATGATGTTGGGTACAATGGCATCTCAGTATTACCTTAGCTACATGACTGTATCAATGTTTGGGTCAAACATTGGGCCAGATACATCTCTTGAAGTAAGTAAAAATAGTTGATCATTGGCATAATATTGGCATTTTTGTTACTACAAATCAGCGATCTTGATTTTTTTTTTAAAAATATTTATATAACAGGTGTTTTTGCACATTTTGTCTGGTGCTTCTGAGTATAATGAACTTCCTGTGCGGCATAATGAGGTAATTTCACATCTCGTATATTGTTAATTATTTGCATGGTTAAGCAGTTACAAGCTTGGACAGCACAGTTGAACTCAAACTTACAATGGTATAACGTGTTTTTTGTAATAACATGTTCCCAATCACATTTACTAATGAGATTATGTCTCTTTGAGTATTTATTTGGCTTGGAAATTGGTGATCCCTCTCTCTCTGTCTCGTGTTTTTTTATTTCCCCTGTTGGGGCTTTTTTTGTGTTTTCCTATTGCATGGTGTCTGTGTCTATTGAGTTGTAATCAATGCCTCTTTGCTAAACCTTTTCCTAAATGTATTGAATACAATATCTGGATGTGTATCTATCAGTTATAATCATATTATGGTAAAGTATAGAATACCCAAATTGGGTAGATGCAGGAAATAATTAGAATAAATCCTGGATGTGACAGTAGAGAGCATTGAGAGAAGATGTTAGTGTAAAAGTTGTTAAATGTGTTCTCTAAATCAAGATGCATATATTACAAAATGAATACATTCCTGTTTAGACCTATAAAAATGGGAAAAAACAAATCCCTGCATGGAGACTTTTAAAGAAAACAATAACAGAAGCATAGATTTCCTCTGAATCATCATTGTGGAATAAGTTGTTTAAGACCAAGGGATTCTAATAGTTGATGCTTTATTGAATTTTGTGAGTTACTAGATCTTTTAGAAGAACAGATTTTCTCTTGGCTAAGCAATAAAGTACTGAATACTCAGTCCGATTTTCTTAGTCCATATTTCCTTTGTGAGATATCTCCAAAAACTGTATCCTTTTCACATTTTGCTACACTTAATACTCTTAATTGCTTTAAGTAACCTTTTTTCTTTTTGACTTTTTGTTGTGAAAAACATTTAGCATTAATATTATTGAAATTTAAGATTTCAATGCAAAAACAAAGCTTTTTTGCTAGTCTTCATGCCAAGTCAGACTGCATGAATAGAAAAAAGGGCTTATGATTTTTCTTCTTAAATCATGGATTCATAGATACATCAATCATTTTAAATACGCAACTAAGGTTTCCTTAGTAGTTTTCAAGGGCTTGAGATATTTAATTCACTGAAAAGAATAAGGATTTTCAGAAGCCCAACCTTTTTTCTTTTAAATATTATAAAAAACTAGAAATAGTTTTTGAGTTATATGAGACTGTCTCCTGGTTAAGAGAAAAAGTACTTTAGAATTGATCTGCAATCTTCTTTGGTGACTCATGCTAGAATTCAATATCATTATTTTCAAGCAGTCTGTTCATGATAAGCTTTGATCTTTTTAATAAATTAAATCGATAAGTATAACTTTGTGATATGTAGTATCCTTGTTTTTTTAATTTCATACCTTGTTAATTCTGATCTCATGCCACAATTGCATCAAATATGCCAGGTAATATTTGTTGTATAAAAATTATTGGTTATTATGCTTGTATTTTGAATTCTATGTGATGGACAGATGAGATGTTTTTCTTGACCTTTAAATAAATATCGCTTTTGCATCGCAGGAAAATTATAATGAAGCATTATCTAAGAGAGTCCGGTATATGGTGGATCAGAATCACCTTGATGATCCACATGTCAAAGCAAACCTTCTCTTTCAGGTCTGAGTTATTTCTGACTGTGCTTGTAGTGTGATTAGAACCATCATTTTCTTTTGTTTTCCACATACATAATGTATGCATATTTAGCATGCATGCACACATACATACAAGTGCATCTTATTGACATACATATGCATTCATCCATCCATCCATCCATCCATGCATATATCCTCCTTTTATCTTTGTTTCACTCCCAATGTTCTTGAATTTCTTTATTTTGTTATCTGATCAATGCATAAACTTTGGAGCTCAGGCACATTTTTCCCAGTTAGATTTACCAATCAGTGACTATGTCACTGACTTAAAGTCAGTGTTGGATCAAAGCATACGCATCATTCAAGCCATGATAGATATATGTGCCAACAGTGGATGGCTTACAAGCTCGATTGCTTGCATGCATCTTTTGCAGATGGTCATGCAGGTATTACTCTTTATATTACATATCTGAATTTTTCCCCCCAATCACATAATAAATTTAACATTTTGCTTCGAGTGTTGGTGCATGGTTTCTGAACTAAAGGTTTGTATCGTCCTGTATGGTTTGTTCTTCCAGTCATAGGTCTTTTGACACCTGTAGGAATAACTCTTGTGAATAATTGTTTGGGGTCATTATTTGCTTTGTTCATTAAGTTCAGAATCAACAGAGATGAAAGACGTAGCTTGCTGAAAAGGAGTCCTAGCTCAGCTATGAGCATATGATATTTGGGTTCCTTTGGTCAGTTTAATCGTTTTAAGGTTTTTGTTTATCATTCTTTTTGACCTGAAACATTTATGATTATGAAATATTCCCTTCCACAGTTATTCTAGATATTCCAGTGTTTTAAAACTTTTAACGATGGTCCACCAATAAGTAACAGAAAGCAAAGCTATTCCAACATGATTTCTATGGTGGAAGGTGAACTGTAATTTGTTTTTAAATCTCATATTTACTAATGTTAATTAAGTTTCTACTCTCAATATCCTGATATATTTTCTCATTTTTAATAAAATTGTTTAGAACAAATATCGCTTTCCTCTGTCTTCATTCTGACAATTCGGTTGTTCCAGGGTTTGTGGTTTGATCAGGATTCTGGCTTGTGGATGTTGCCATGCATGAATAATGAACTTGCTGGTGCATTGAGCAAGAGAGGAATTTTCAGTGTGCAGCAACTATTAGATCTTCCTAAGGCAACATTGCAGACTGTGATCGGAAATTTTCCTGCTTCAAAATTATGTCAGGTGCACATTTTTGGGAATATAATGTTTAGATATAGTGCATCATATTGTCTTGAGTTGCATGGTTAACTACTAAGTCTTGTTATGTTGGCATTAATTCCTTGGTCCGCGCACCCATTCCTCTTCTCTTTTCCAACTCTGTGTTCCTAGCTTGATTTTGTAGAAATCCTTTGTGTTCCTGTGATATCTAGAGTCACTTAGGTTATTAACTGGTACCCTAATAAAAGGTGTCAGTCAATATCTAGAAAATTGGTGCTTGGATATTAGCCTCCAACTGGGAAATGGAGTTGCTTGAATTCATTTTTGATGTGTAGACATACCCTCTGATTACCTTGGTTTTTCCTGTGTTTTTATTTTTAATTAGGATCTGCAGTATTTCCCCCATATACAAATGAAATTAAAACTGCTGAAGAAGGGCACAGAGAGTGAAAAGTCTCTCCAACTGAACATTAGATTGGAGAAGACAAATTTAAGGCGGAATGCATCAAGGGCATTTGCTCCTCGATTCCCTAAGGTAAGGTGTTAATGTTTCTTTAAGTTCTTGTTTAGAAACACAAACCAAGCTAGATGTTCTGTTGCAGCTTAAAGATGAAGCATGGTGGCTGATTCTTGGTAACACCTCTACTTCTGAATTATATGCTCTGAAGAGAGTTTCTTTCTCTGATCGCTTAGTTACCCACATGGAGTTACCATCAGATGTGACGACGTTTCAGGTATTAAGGCCTTTAAATGCTTTTCTCTCTTGAAAAATAAAATCATGTGCTTTTCGCAGAATAATTTTCTCAGAAGAAGAGTTGTTTAGCAGTATGTGAATTAATTTAGTGAAGAATAGATGCATGACCTAATAAATCTGCAGTTTCACGTTGACGGCTGAGGTGCATAGTCACTATTCCTGGAAATTAGTTTAGCAGTTATTGGGTAAAGAATTGATAGGCTGACTTACTATGCATCATTTGTTTTCTGCTGGAAGAAGAGCATGTGACATTTGTATATAACTTGCCGAGGTGAAATTGATCCTCGACTGCATAAACCATGGAATTAAATCTTGCTAGTTAATAATTGGAGACTGTTCTGTGTTCCAGGGGATGAAACTGATTGTAGTTTCAGATTGCTATCTTGGTTTTGAACAAGAACATTCCATTGAAAATCTTGCTGCACAATGCTTGGAAGTTGGAACCAAGACCGTTTAAGATTCATCAAATTCACCATCTAGAGAAAATCGGCAGGGCCGATATATGGAGAAACACTCTCCTTATCTCTCAGGGCATACTATAATAGTCCTTTTATTGGGACTTTCTATCCAACTTTAGTTGACAAGCCTCCGACAGTGCCAGATGATAGATACCTGAAGTTTATGAAAGTTAAGTATAGCATTATATATATGTAAAGAAATTTTTGCCGCAGTTTGTATAGGTGTTGCCAGGCAAAAGGTAAGCAAACTTAACTGATGCGTAATACTCCATGGCCATGTTTGATACTTGAAAATCTTAGATGTGTTCCAATCTTGAATGTGCCTTCGAATTTTTATTCTCTGCTTTTTGGAATATGAATATCGTACTTGCGAAAATTAAAATGCAACAGAAACAGA